TGGCCGCACCTTCAGCTACAAGACCAGCCTGGGGGTGCACATGCGTGCCCACACGGGCGAGCGCCCCTTCATGTGCCCCTCCTGCAGAAAGAGTTTCAAGAATAAGACCTACCTGGTGGTGCACCAGCGCGTGCATACCGGCGTGCGGCCCTACGCGTGCGCCGAGTGCAGCAAGAGTTTCCTGCAGAAGCGAGACCTGACGGTGCACCAGCGTGTGCACAGCAAGGAGAGCCCCTTCCTCTGCTCTGAGTGCGGCCGGCGCTTCCGCTACAAGTCGAGCCTGGCCATCCATCAGCGCACGCACACGGGCGAGCGCCCCTTCCCCTGCTCCGAGTGCGGCCGGCATTTCAAGTACAAGACCAACCTACTGATCCACCAGCGCGTGCACACTGGCGAGCGCCCCTACCCCTGCCCGCAGTGCAGCAAGAGCTTCACCTGCAGCACCAACCTCATCATGCACCAGATCACCCACGACAGGCTGGGCGCCCGGCAGCAGGAGGGGCCACGGGTGCCGCCGGCAGCCAGGCGGCGGGAGAGGGAGAGAGCCCGCACGGCCGACCAGCCCTTCGTGTGTGCCGAGTGTGGCAAAGGATTCAAGAAGCACGGCTTCCTTATCATCCACCAGCGGACCCATTGCCCAGCGCCTGCCGGAGCTAGCGCAGAGCAGGCAGCCAGGCCAGGGAAAGCCACGTGCCCCCCGCCACACCCAGCCCTTGCTCTGGCCAGGGAGTGGCTTGGAGCACAGGGCACCAAGGGAGCGTCTGACCACGCGACGTGCTAGCCACAGCGGTGGGCTGGGCCTGCCTGCTGTGTGCTCTACTGCAGGCTGGTGTGACTGGGCCCAGCCTCTCCCTGAGCCTTGGGCATGGTGCCCCACACTAACTTCAGTGTGCTCGGAAATAAACCGTTCCCCACACCCCGCCCTACCTGGCTTTGTGTGTTAGCCTCTGGCCCCAGAGGACGTGACACAGCCCGGAGGCTGCCCGGCGCACGCCCCACACCAACTCCTGCTGACAGCTGGCCCTGCATAAGTACTCAGTAGGGTTGCCAGGCATCCAGTTTTCGACCAGAACGCTGGGTCGAAAAGGGACCCTGCTGACTGGGCTGTTAAACATCCGGCTGGCGGCGGAGCGGGGCTAAGGCAGGCTCCCTGCCTGCCCTGGCTCTGCGTGGCTCCCGGAAACGTTCCTGTGGCCCCTAGGCACAGGGGTAGCCAGGGAGGCTCTGCGCACTGCCCCCACCGCGAACGCTGGCTCCGCAGCTCCCATTGGCC